TGCATGAAATCTTGTCTCTTTTTTGTTTTATATATATATAGGAATTTTGAACAAAATCATTAAGAAATGTGGGATCTGGGATATCCATGGGGGTGTGTTTGGTTCGTGAGGAAAGTTGTCCCAACTTTTCTCATACAATTGTTTTTTTTTTTTTTTTTTTTTTCTGTTTTTTTTATTAGGGCAAGTGGAGAGGGGGGAGGGGGATCGAATATTTGTTATGATGAATAAGGTTTACATTAAGCTGTTGGGTCATTAGGTTGGTAGGCTTTCTTCTTTCTCTTATAATGTTATTCATGTATTTTTACACTTCTATATTATAACAAATAAGGATAGAAGTGCACCTGGCCCTTGAGGCCTACTGGCAAAAGCCAACCGGTGCATTCCCCCCCCTCTGGGCGGGTTCAAAACCCGCACCTTGCAAAATATGTTCAAAAAATAAAAAAGGATAAAAGTAATATTTGTAGCCTTTATTTTTTCTTGCACAATGCCTAATTGGAAACATTTTTTTTTCATAGTTTTTGAAGGAAAAATGTTTTCCCTAATTTTTTCATGTGGAATCTCTAAATTTTCCATGTGAGTCTCACACAACAATTTACCAACTTTTCTTATTTCAATTTTTTACCAAATACAAAAAAATTAACAATCAAATAAATTTTTTTTACAAAATTTATTAATTTTTTACAATAATTTTTACTTTTTTGTATAGTACCTTTTCAATCACTTTCTCAATATAAGTAAGAAAAAAGAAAAAACTACATAAGAAAAAATGGTGAGAGAAGCTACTCAGTGTGGGAAAGCATAAGGATGCCTGTCTTCTGGATGCTAAATTTCTAATTCCATTAGAGGGTCACAGGGCCATTCCCTCTGAAGTAGACAAGTCTCAGAAACTAGAGCTATACCATACCATTTTCTTTTGTGCAATAGTCTTTCTGTAGGTTGCACCCCAAGTAGAAGACTTGGTGCTTTGAAGTCTAAATTCCATTTCAGAAAATTTTGCATCACTTTCTTAGACTGTTTGATTTTTTATTGTAGTGACCGACTTTTTCTTTTTCCCTGTAAAAGGACTGGTCTGACCAGGCTAAGGTTATGACTAGAACACTAATTTCATATGTAATTTTATTGATTTGTAATTTTTTAAAAATAATAAGTTATAATATTTAAAATTTTTATTTATAAATTAATTTTTATTTTTTAAATAATAAATATTAATTATTTTATTAATTATTAATTATTAATTATTAAATTAAAATAAAAATTTGACAATAATATTAATGATGGCTATAACCATTTACAATGATCTTATTAATAGTTCAAAATTTCAGATTCCCCATGTGGTCCAGCCATCAGGTTCTTCAAAATTTTTGGTAAAACAGATTACTATATATATGCTTGAACATACACATTTTTCTTATCATATCTGCTAATTACTTAGGCTCTTTATGTTTTAACAAAATTAAAAAAATAAAAATCACAACTATATTAAATACAACGTTACCATTTTGAATAATCTCAGCCCGAAATTTTGTTTTGTTTGCTCTGTTTTGTGGCCTTGTCAATTGTTCAGAATCGGAAGTATGGATTCTTGGAGTGTCTCCTAAAGGGTACTTGAAATTCTTGGCAAAACAATGGCTATGTGCTAGGAAATTATCGCTTTTTGCTTAATTAGTTCATCATATTTGTTTTTTAATTAGCTTTCGGCAATTTATGTTTTGTTCTATGTACCTGTAGACACAAAAAAAAAAAAAAAAAAAAATTCTCCACCTTTGTATCGCATCCTAGCTAAGACAAGTTTTGATCAAGTTCACCTATATATGATACCTCGCATACTACAAGAAATTGAGTTTTTTTGTGATTGAAAATGATAATTGATTTTTAGTTGGTTATTAATATTTTTTATATGTCTGATTAATTTGATATAATAGTTACTAATATTAATTTTTAAAATTATAATATACAATTTCGATACAAAAATTATATTTGATTACAAGTAAGATAAAACACGTGGAAAAATTATATGGTGACATGATAAAATAAGATGATGATACATGTCATATTTAAATTATAAATATAATTGGAACATGTGGTAAAATTATATGGTCTAATTAAAATATGCTAAGAATATTCTTTTCGAGATGCTTATAGTCCACAATAAAACATATAGCAAAATTACATAGTGACGTGGTAAAATGAAATTATGGCATGCGTTTTAATTATGATATTAGTGCTTATTCGTCTTGTTTTTTAAATATTATAAAAAAAATTATTTTAAAATTATGTAATTTTAATAAAATATTACGTGAAATGGTAAAATGAAATTATGGCATGCGTTTTAGTTATGATATTAGTGCTTATTCGTCTTGTTTTTTAAATATTATAAAAAAAATTATTTTAAAAGTATGTAATTTTAATAAAATATTACGTGAAATAATAAAAAAACACTCTAATTCATATTTTAAAAATAGGATATTTGAATATTTTTCAATAGAGATTTATTGAAATGATTAGTTTTGAAATGATTTTTCTGTTAATTTTTAAGAGGTAAAGTATATAGATACTATTTTTTTTTTATTTCTATTAAAAATATAATTAAAACACATGATAAAATCACAATTATTTAATTTGTGAAACATAATATAAACTTTAATTTTATCAAATTTATCATGATATTATTAGACGTGTTAACATTTTAAATGCTAAGTCATCTTAATTTATTTTTTTTCTCAATTCCGCCTACAATCCTTATTCATTATTTCTTATGGTCCGTAGAAATAAGAAAACATGCATCATAATCATAAAATAAAATGTAGGAGCATCTTTCATGTAGAAGGATGGTATGTATGAATTATATATAACTAATCTTGTAGACAAGCACCTTGACAACCATCCTCTATCCAATTCAGTTCTGATGCTGTTTATAACTTCTCTAGGTTTCTAGTATGGAAGCTATGGAAACTGCTAGATTACTTGCTTCGAAAGAAGGTTTGCTGGTATGTTTTGAAGGCTGAAAAGATCTATTTTCATTTCCGATGCATAATTTGTATTACTAGCCTTGAACAAATTACTTTCTAAACAGATAGGAATATCATCTCGTGCTGCAGCCGCAGCTGCAATACAAGTGGCAAAGAGGCCCGAAAATGCAGGGAAACTCATTGTTGTAAGTCTTATTGCATTTTCAATATGGGACTTAGTGCTCGTTTAGTGTAACTGGAAAATAGAAAGTCTTGTTGGAAAGAAATTATTATAAGGGTGATTTTTTGAACTAAAAAAAATAAAGATAAAATAAAAATAATATGTTAATTTCATTAAAATTCATATAAAAAGTTTTTGTAGAAGCATCAATTTGATGCTTTTGAGATTTGTATTAAAATAAAAAAAAATTAATTTGTGAGAAATTATAATATTTTTTACTAATTGTAATATTTGATATGGATTATATTTTTAAAACAAAAAAATATTTCCCATAAACTGCACTAAACATGCTCTTAATTTTTTGCTACAAAACATTTTACCTTTCATAACATGAACATGAAACTTGAAATTTCTTGAGTAGTTCTAAACTGAAACAGAAGATTGTAATGACACTTATTGTATTGATTGCCATGTGCTTGTGCAGGTAATCTTTCCCAGTTCTGGAGAGCGTTACTTGTCATCTCCATTGTTTGATTGCACAAGGCATAAGGCACAAAGCATGACCTTTTATTGAGATGTTAACCTCTAATTTCTATTCTTGTACCATGCCCTCTGCAAGAACTTTTCAGTTAATGAAAAATTCACAGCAGGGCAAGAAATAATCACTTTATAATAAATTCACTGAGCTACAGTACTAAAAAGGGGACTTGAAAGTTGAAACCATTGTGAAGAACTGTTTGTATTATTTTCTGTGGTAGCAGCTAATTTAATATGCTGGCTATGATTTACCCAAGTCCCTGACAAAACAAGGATGATTGACAGAAACAGTGACGGTTGGATGGAGAGACCACATGCTACTCTAATATCAGGACTCAGGAGCTTGCCCATGAGTCCGGACATAACAGGGTGATCGTACGGTACGCTAATATCAAGTGCAGTTGGATGGAAGAGAAAGACTCCCATACGCCCCCCATATCAGGGCTTGCCTATTTGCAATCGCACACCATATCAGCGGCTTGCTTATTTGCAATCGCACACCATATCAGCGGCTTGCCTATCATGGTTTATTCCATCCAATCTCTGCACCGTAATAAGAGCATTTCAATTCCCGTTTCATCCACAAATATATTATTTCAAAATTGGCTTTTTTAGGACAACCTTCATCTTCAAAATTAGGGAGGGGCCGCACGAATGCAGGCCCCCACTACCACAAATTATGAAGTAGGCTCTCCCTCACGGGGAGACCTTAGACTGGTGCACTTCCCCAGTGCAATGAAAGCCACCAGCCTAGGCCATGGCTCTTCCTGATCGGCCATTGACCCCTTCCAGGTATGTAAGTTGGACAAGGTGTTCGAGTTCATCTTTTATAGCACTCGATATCATGTACATTCTGTTGTCATTCAATGTGGGACTCCAACTTCAGCAAACTAGGCAAAAGGCCTACAGGCCTGAGACTGTGGGACGAGTTTAAACTGTGGGACGAGTTTAAAGGAGGACTCATTAGACCAAGGGCACCTCTGTTCATCTTAACACCACATGTTTGTGTTGACGCTTGCAGAAACACATCCTTGCATGCTTATGTTTCTGAGATCAAGCTCTTCGATCTCCATGCCTTCCTCTCTCCTTCTCATTTCTACTTAACATTTTCCTTTGTGTTTTATTCAATGATGTATTAGAGCTCGTACCATGAAAGCATGTACTGGTGTTCTTCAAGTTAAATATTCCGCAATTCATATTCTGAATGGGCTTCTGTCAGAGCTTCCATTGGTAGTTCAATAACTTGAGTGGGAGAAAAGGAAGAAAATGAAATGGATGAAGATATTATCGTTAGTAGCTCAACTCAAAAATTCAAGTTCATTTGGTGGTGGTAGGCGACAGTGACAATCACAATCTCTCTCCCACGTGCGATGTGCCAAAACAAGATCCATTTTCTAGCTAGAAAATTTGAGTAAGATTGTTCTATTTATGTTACTTGTTCTGATGGTATTTTTCTAAAATAAAAATTAAATTAGAGAAAAGTTGTTGACAAAGTGTACTCAAAGCATATTACAAAATCCTTAACCTCAAATACTAAAAGCACACCCCTCTCACACGCAAATCAACAAACACCTGCTGTGCATGGAACACCCTACCTACTGATGATTAACTGAAACATTGGTGAATAAATGAAACATAAAAACAACACATTTACCGATGCTACGGGCACAGAATCAGGCATAGGAATAACTACAAACTTTTATCCCTAAAATCCCTCCCGGTAATGAAAGCTGAACTAGAACAAACGGGAACTCAACAGCTTTCACTCAAATTAGTAGGGGCCGCGCGAACGCTGGCCCCCGCTACCACAAATTATGACGTAGGCTCTCCCTCTTGGGGAGACCTTAGGCTGGTGCACCTCCCAAGTGCAATGGAAGCCACCAACCTAGGCCATGACTCTCATTGATCGGCCATTGACCCCGTCCAGGTAAGTATGTTTGCTTGTTGCGCTAAGTGTGATATTTATGATTTTCCGTATCATCCATCTCATATTCCTTCTCGATGTGGGATTCCGAGAAATTTCGGCTAACCGCCAAAAAAGGCTTATAGGCCCAAAACTTGTTTAAAAAACCCAAACTCAAACCCAAACCCAAACCCAATGGGCTTGAGCTTTTTCAGGCTGACTGATGCTCTTCTTTCTTTCCACTGGTAAGCGCCACACGTGTTGTTTTCATCACACGTGTGGTATCACTCCTCCCTCCCACGCCAGATCAGATCTGCCAGGCTTCTTCTGCAGAGAATCGAGCTCTTCTCGATCTCCATGCCTGCTTTGTCTTCTTCTTCTTCTACTCTGCATACCTTTTCTGCTCAACATTTTCGATAAAGTTTCATTTATTCCAACACAGAGAAACCAGAGAGAGCTCGAAGCGATGGCTTTAATGGCTGTTCTAGAATCCGATCTCCGTGCTCTCTCTGCCGAAGCTCGCCGGCGTTACCCCGCCGTCAAGGACGCCGCGGAGCACGCTATCTTAAAGGTCACAATTCGCATTCACTGACATGTCTACATGTATATACTCGTGGTGTGATTTGATATGCTTTCAAGTTGAATTGGTGGACATGTTGCTTAATTTGGATAGTTTGGAATTGTTAGTTTGCTGTATAAGTTTAAGTTAGTTGCATTTAGAATATTGATTCAACTAGTGGTTGCTCGCTGGGAAAATGAAAAACAATGGGAGAAATGCGATTAAAGACTAAACAGTGGAATCAATGGTGATAGAGTTCCCTAAGTGATCCATTTTCCTGTTTTTTGTTATATTGTAGTGAAGTTGAGTATTTTTAGCGAAATCTTCAGTGGAAGGATCTGTTTTTGGCTTTTTACAGTGCAGAATTCAGCATAATTTACAAAATGGTGGTCTTAACTCAATTATTATTATTATTATTATTATTTTCACTTCAGTGCCAGATATGAAAGCATCATTAGTAGTTTAAGATGGTATTACTAGTCACATAAGAATCCCCAATTATCCACATCTGTTACTGTAGTTGTTATCATTCAATGCTGGTGTTTCTTTTGCTGGAAAATATATCCTGTTCATTACCGTTGAAGCAGTGGATTAGTAAAGAGATATAATTGTTTGTAGGCATTGGGTTTTGTTTGCCTCTGATCCCTAAGTGCTGAGTTTGAACTTATATGTTTGTTGCTGATGAATTGCAGCTCCGTATGTTATCAAGTCCAAGTGACATTTCACAAAATGAGGACATTGTGCGGATATTTTTAATGGCCTGCGAGGTCAAAACTGTAAAGCTTAGTGTAATTGGGCTTTCATGTCTGCAAAAGCTTATATCTCATGATGCAGTTGCCCCATCAATTCTAAACGAGATACTACCTACGTTAAAAGATGTAAGTTTTTATTTTGATATATTGTATAGGCTATTGGTTTGTTACTAGAAGTGATTATAGTAATTCAAAAATTATGAGTTGGCTTTATCTGATAGTCTGGCTTGTTCTCTTACTACAAATAGGAAATTATCATTAGTAAAACGTGTGCCTTTACCTGATCCAAGAAGTACCTTTCTCCTGCATATTGCATAGAAGGGCAAGCCCTATACCAGCAATTATTCTATTTTAGAATTAAAAAAGAAAAAGAAAAAATAATTCCAAAAAGACTAGTGATTGTCCAACAATTTGTTATCCTAAGTGAAATAATTGGGAACAATCTGTTGCAAGCATTGATTTCCCTTTTGAAACCTTAACCATTAGTTTCTAAAGGTTATGTTGGTTTATTTACACTGTTATACCGTGTGGGCTGTAGCTTAGTTTGTAAGGGGGTTTGCTCCTCATCTTATTGACCAAGGTTCAATCTTTGGGGAGGTGATGGGGTAATTACTTGTTAAATCTCCAGTGGCTGCATGGATAGCCTGCTTTTGATTGGACACTGTTATGCTGAAGAAAGAATAGTTTACATTGTTTGAGAGAAACCTGAAATCATTCTTCCATTATTCGCTTTTTCAGTTTCTTGCATAATTTAATATTTCTAGAAAGCATTTTTCCTTCCTAGGCAGCACTATTGGCATAGTAGAAACTCTGATCTTTATTTTTTTATGCAGAAGGTAGTTTTATTTTTCCTTCCCAGGGTTAACTTTATTTATTTATTTATTTTTTGTGACCCTTAAGCAGCATGCTGAAATGGCAGATGAGAGTGTTCAATTAAAGACCTTGCAGACTATATTAATAATATTTCAATCACGCCTACATCCTGAAAATGAGGTAATGAGTGTCTACATACTAATCTTCATAGTGTTGCTGGATTTGCTTTCTTAATAATAGATCCAAAATGGGGACCTTTTAATATGGATGTGATGCCACTAAAATGTCTAACTTAACTAAATAGCACCTGAATTTCTGAGATGGGTAATGGTAAAGCTTTGGGAATATTTTCTACTCATTTTGATTTGTGTGTATTGAACTATTAATAGCATTTATGTCAGGATGCTGAAATCTCAAGTTATGCTGCTCCTGTAAACATCTTGTACAAACTTTGGTTGGCAGATCACTGTTGCCTGACTGTAAACCATCTCATTAAAAGCTGAAAACTCTAGATACATATCATAATTATTTTACAAAGAAAGTTTTGTCAGCATATCTAGGTTTTCATGTTTGTAGAAATTAGGTAACTTAAGTTTTTTCTTCCTTTTAATCATTTAGCACAATTATTGGATAATTATCAGGAGAATATGGCTCAGGCTCTTGGGATTTGTCTTCGACTTCTTGAAAGCAATCGATCTTCTGACAGTGTTCGGAAGTAAGTTGCAATGTTGGCTAAGAATATTAATTAGTCTTTTGGCCTCCTTAAACTTCTTTATTGATATTTTTCTCCAGCTAAATATTTTTTTCTTTCTTTTTTTTGGCAGTACTGCTGCAGCTACCTTTAGACAGGCAGTAGCTTTGATATTTGATCATGTTGTTCATGCTGAGTCGCTTCCAGTGGGAAAGTTTGGTTCTGTAGGTTATGCCTCTCGAGCAAGTTCAGTTACTGGTGATGTTAGTCGCAGTATGAATAATTCAGAGTATGTTATATTCATGAATGCCATGTTTGACTGACTAAACAAAATTTACACACCTTTTTTCTGCATCCGAATATGTATCAAGTCAATATCAGATATAAGGTCTTGTTTGATAAATGTGTGAGTGATGGCTTTTTTCATCTATGCTCATCAAAGAAAATAAAATTAAAATTTGTGCTGCCTGGTTTTCATTGCATGGTTTTGTTGACAAACATATCTACACTTGAGCTTACAAAATTGTGTACACAGGTCCATGGAGAATGAATTTGCTTCTGGACAGCGGGCAACCACAACCAATGCTGGAAAGCTAGGGCTTCGTCTGCTTGAAGACCTGACAGCTATTGCTGCAGGTGGATGTGTATGTGCTACTTTAGACCTATTAGATTGTCTTTCTAAGCAGATTTTGTGTTAGAGATGCCCATAATCAATGGGCTTTGAGAAACTGTTTCACCATGTCCAGTGGTTCCCTGATTTTCAATTCATCAATGAAAACTACTTGACATGGATGGAGCTTCTTAGCAATTGATTACTATTCCTTGCAGGCAACTTGGTTACGTGTCAACCATCTTCAGCGGACATTTGCACTTGATATACTTGAGTAAGGAATCTGTGTCTACTCCTCATTCTTTATTTTGTTTTAACTTATGTTCTGTATGGTGGCAAACTAATGCTTGAAACTCCCAGCTTGTATAAGTCAATTCATTTGATCAACGTTTGGTGGTTTTGTGTGCACAAGAACATCATTATATAGTTTCTAATTCTCTCTTAATCTTAACAAAAACGTTAACGTTCAAAGAATTACTCTAATTCTACTCCCATAATGGTAAACTCTAGCTCCTTTGGCCCTATTCTTGCCATTTGTGTTTTTAAATTTGTCCAAAGATGCATAAGATTTGAAATGGTTAATATTCTCTTATTCTTCTTCTGCTAGCACTCTTCCAAAGTGTATCTTCTGAAGTTTACTTGCTCTGCAGGTTCATTCTGGCCAATTATGTTACTATTTTCAAGATTTTGGTTCCGTATGAGCAGGTGATTACAGAATATCTAGACGCACAATAATGTTTTCTATTCTGTTTAAGTGTGCTAGAGAGACTTTTATAGTTGTAAAGTGTGCATGGAAAATGAACAGGCTTTACGGCATCAAATATGCTCACTTTTAATGACTTCACTGCGTACCAATACTGAGGTAACTTCTTCACTCTTGTGCGATAGAATTATCATTTTGTTGTTTTGTAGTTTCTTCCTTTCCTGTTTCTGTGCTTGATTGAGAATAGTTATATTTTCTACTATTTTATTGTTTTAAAAATCTATTAAGATTGAAGGAGAAGTAGGAGAGCCATACTTCCGTCGCTTGGTCTTGCGATCAGTTGCTGATATTATCAGGCTCTATAGTTCATCCCTTATCACAGAATCTGAGGTAAGTTTTTCAATGAGTTTACAAGAGGGTTGAAGATACTGCCAATGATTGGGTAGTGTTATTCTTCATTGGTTGGGCTTGGCCATGAAAAAAATGATAAGAATTATGTCAAACTGTGATGAAAATTGAGCTAAATCTTTGAGAAATGTTCATGTTATCATTATTAATATTAATAATATCAAATAAGAAAGTCTGTTCTCCTAAAAGAGTTGGAGAGGAAAAAGCATCTAGACTTTATGCCCATGATCTCTTAGGCATCAAACTTTTATAATTTATATTACATCTACATTATGAGAAGAGAGGTTCATAGCTATTACAAGTTTGTTTAGCATGTTGGTCCTTGGATTGGAAGCATTTCTTAGACATTTATGGATCTTTAGTTTTGTTAGATTTGACCAAATATCCTTTGTTCGTCTGCAACTGCTAACTTCACTAAAATCTTATAATATGCAGGTTTTCCTTAGTATGTTAATCAAGGTTACTTTCCTTGATCTGCCATTATGGCATCGTATCCTTGTTCTTGAGATTTTAAGGGTAACATCGGCAATCTATGAGCAACCTTTTTTCTCTTGGATTTACATATCATTTCTTGGTTTTTATTTACTTTTTAAGCTGTCTAATATCTAGAAGTGTGGTTTGACAGGGTTTTTGTGTGGAGGCACGGACATTGCGCATCCTTTTCCAAAACTTTGATATGTATGCTCGTTGGCTCTTAGTCAGGAAGGTTTGGAAATTTTATTCCTCTATACTGATAATCTTTTGCCCTCTCCAACTTGCAGGCATCCCAAGAACACAAACATTGTGGAGGGTATGGTTAAAGCTCTTGCTCGAGTTGTTTCAAGTGTACAGGTGAAATATTGTTCACTGTTTTTCAGATTCCTGTCAATTTTTCAAATTTGCAGTTATGAGTCTTTTCTTTTCTTTTATTTACCTTTTATCTTTGGTCTGAAGAGCTTTTTATCTGTCTGTTGAACTCAGGCCTTAGCCCAGGTGGTTACCCAAGTAAACTGTCTGTAAAACTAAGGCCTTAACCCAGGTGGTTACCCAAGTAAACTGTCTGTAAAACTAAGGCCTTAACCCAGGTGGTTACCCAAGGGTTACTCCATTTGGATGACCAGGGTTGGAGTTTCCCAATTCTACCTCTCCCCCTTCCCAAAAGATTCCCCTACTTAATGAAGGAAATAAGAGATGGGCTGTCTGTTTATTTCCTCTTAAGCTTGCTCCATTTCTCTTGTCATTCACTATTATCTGTTGGCAATGCTATAACCATATCAGCATGTTCAAGTGGTGCCTTTGGACCATTAGATAGTTTTCTTGCTCATTCTCAGTTTGTGCTGCAGGCCCTCTCAGTTTAGGAAATCAAATTATCACTTTATTGATCAGATGTTGTGAGTATTGAGTAACATAATTTTCCATATAATTTGCCATATAATTAGTTTTTAGAGACAAGTGAGGAGAGCCTGGCAGCGGTTGCAGGGATGTTTAGCAGCAAAGCTAAAGGTGATATTTTATTAATTTTTGTTTTAAAGATCTATATTACTCCTGTCTTGTTACAGAGTCATTTGCTCTTCCCAGCTGTATTACCCTTTAAGATACTTGAGAGAGTAACAAGCTTCAGATGTTATTTGTTTATGAATTTTTTTGATGTGGTGATCCTTTTTATTTGCAATATAATAACAATGCAGAGTGTTGTCATCTGCTGCATCATGCCAGAATTTTGTTGCCATTTTACAGATGAGGGTTTTAAGGAAACTATATAACACTTCCTTCATGCAAGTATTTTGCAACCTTCTAGTTTTTGATGTTTCCTTTACCTTTTCTTTTGTACTTATGTAGTGTAAGTGTGGCATAAAGATGTCTTCTGATATATTTTGGTCATCAATCAATGCATATGGCCATATATGTTTTTTATATTTTTATGTGCATTGAGGCATTAAATAGTTTGTGCTTCCTGCAGGAATTGAGTGGAGCCTTGATAATGATGCATCAAATGCTGCTGTACTAGTTGCTAGTGAAGCCCATGCAATAACTTTGGCCATTGAAGGTTTACTGGGTGTTGTTTTTACTGTAGCCACTTTGACTGATGAAGCAGTGGATGCTGGGGAGGTAACTTTTAATAACGTGTTCATCTTCTGGTTTTCTTCTTTCCTATTTCGGATCATGCTGCCTTATTGTAATGCTTGTTATGTCTTAGTCTTTCTCTTTGTTCACCTTTTCTTATTTCCTTTGGCTCAAGCAGCTTGAATCTCCTAGATGTGATTATGATCCTTCATCAAAATGTACTGGAAAAATTGCATTTCTCTGCATTTCAATGGTTGATTCATTGTGGTTGACCATTCTTGATGCTTTGTCACTCATTTTAGCAAGGTTGATGATTTTTCAATTCCCGCTGTTTTAAGGAAATTCAATTTATATGCATTCTAATTCTACATTAATTTGAAAGGTCACAAGGAGAGGCTATTGTGTTGGAAATATTAAAAGGATATCAAGCGTTCACTCAGGTATCCATATTTTCTCATGTACAAATCGTTATTCATTAATATGAAGTTACTGCCAATAGGGTGGCTATTTTATTTGCCTTTTCATTGTTTCAGAAATGAGCTCCAGTTTTATTTCTAGTTAAAGCCATGCATATATATATATATATATATTTGTTATTTACAGCAGAAGCCATGTTTTCTATGGTACATTATTTGTTTTATTTTGTCTACACTGCAGTAGATGATGGTGGTTTCTTAATTCTGATCGTCGTTTATGTGACTATTTTGCAGGCATGTGGGGTTCTTCATGCTGTAGAACCTTTAAACTCCTTTCTGGCATCTCTTTGCAAATTTACAATCAGTTTTCCTAACGAAGTGGAAAAAAGAAGGTATGAATATAAAAACCATTAAGGTCTTATGCTGACTATGTCCTAACTTCTATGTTTTTATACAATAATTACAATATTCACAGATTTCTGTGAGGGGATTGCCTATTTATTTAGTAAGTAATATTCTTGGTTGGGAGGCATGCATCTTTTGCTTCTCATTTTAGTGGAGCTGAGGGAACTTTGTTATGTTTTTCTCTTTTTTCTTTAAACCGCTAATTATTTGTATGAAGGGTTGATTTTGATTCTAGTTTCCTCTTTAGGTTTCCATGCATGACATGCTGGTTTTGACTGTTCCATAGTATATAAGAAATGCCTTGCCATTTCTCTGATTGTTTAAGCTTTTAGTCTACTTTCCCATAGTTTATGAACCCTCTAACCATATTGAAAAATCCGGCTGCAAATTGAGATTTCAGTGGCATGTCACCGTCTCCTGGACCAAAACGTTCTGACATATTAGTTGAGCAGAGAGATAGCATTGTTCTTACTCCCAAAAATGTACAGGTATTCAATCATTGCCTTAACTGAAAATTGAGTTTATAGTTTTAGCATTTTCGTTGGTTAATCATTGCCTTAACTGAAATGTTCCTGCTGCATTTTATTTGATTGTAGAATGGTTTGTTTTAAATATTTGTTGTAGCCATAAAGTTACATATTTTACTAATTTCCCTTGCAACCAGGCATTAAGGACTCTCTTCAATATTGCTCATCGACTACATAATGTGTTGGGCCCATCCTGGGTTTTGGTATGTTGGTCCAATTATAATATTCTTCTAAAAGCAATGAGTCTTGTAATTTATTATTGTTTATCACATTTGATATAGGTATTGGAAACATTAGCTGCTTTAGACCGAGCAATCCATTCTCCACATGCCACCACTCAGGTAATTTTGTGTCAAAATATTTTATGTAATACCCTGCAGATAGTTTTCATTTTAATCAGTGGTTTGATCATCAGATTTCTGGATATATGAGGATTGGGAGGGTAGCAGGATGGATATCAGTGACTTAGGTGCCGAAACTAGATTAATGTTATGGCCCAAATGAATTTGTTAAGAGTATTTTTTTTATGCTGTGAATTTGTTAGAGTATTATTCTTTCAGAATTATGTTAATTGCTTGGGCGTGTTTTTGGAAGAGTGGCTAATATGTATGGGAATGCCAAGTGAACTCCTGATGAACTAAATTGACTTCTAGTAGGATTTGGCATGAGGAAGTTCTGGAGTGGAGCAACCATGAACAACCAAAAGTATCCTACTAAAAGTGAGCACTTTTAGTTGACTTTTAGTAGGATACTCTAAGAATGTTCTACGTGGTTGCTGGTTGTTCATGATCAACCAAAAATACTATTTTCATTCCATGGTTGTTGTGGAGATCTTTTTCATTGATGGCATTTCATGAACGGTTAGTTTGGCTACCATAATACAGAGGACTTCCTAATGTCTGAAAATTTAGTTGCCATCAATGCTGAATGGTGCTTGAAACTTCTAAGTTTTATAACCATCCAGAGAATTGAGACAAATCAAATACAAATACCTTAAAAAACGAATATGCCTTTTATGATTACATTCACTTCAAAATTGAGAATGATGTGAAGTAATGCCATGCAGTATAAAAACTTAAAAAATTTAACTAAAGTCGCTAAATTGCGTTAATTTAACTTTTGAATTTGCATATTAATGTTTAGAACTGTATGCCTTGAGACTTCCTTCTTGTCAATAATACATAAGATTTGAGTTTGAAACCTACTTACGTGTTCATGCATCGCTGAACTAATTTTCTGATAAAAATGTTTGTGACTTTCTTGAACAAGGGTTTATTTTCACTGTGCTATTAATGGTCTTTAACAGCATATAATTTGAAAATAGGGAATAATTGCCTTGTTGCTAATGCTACATAATTTTATGGACCATCTTATTTTTGCTTGTTATATAGTATTTTGTTACATATAATCTGAAAAATATGACATGGATCTTATTTTTTGTCCCTTCAGGAGGTCTCCACACCTGTTCCAAAGCTTACTAGAGAATCTTCTGGCCAGTACAGTGATTTTCATATTCTCTCCTCTTTAAATTCTCAGGTATTCAAAGCAAATTAGTTTCTTTTTGGTAAAGAGAATTAAAAATGTGTTTGTAGTTGTGAAAACTCTTTCCAGAAAGGCATCAGATTGTCAGAAAATTTTACCTTTTACATTTCTGCATCATTATTTATAGCAGTGGACTAGGCTTTATATTTAGAGTAAAACTACACAGTCAAGATTTCTGAAAATGGTTTATAGAATATTTTTTGGAGTGAATTGCTGCCATATGTGTTGTAATTCTACCTTTTCGTTTTCCAGTATGGGTTACCTGGCCTTGTTTCTTTTAAATCAAGTATGTAAAGTGTTGTGGTCTAACTTGATCATTTCATTCTGCAAGCTGTTTGAGAGCTCAGCACTGATGCACATATCTGCTGTTAAATCACTTATTTCTGCACTATGTCAATTGTCGGACCAATGCATGACTGGGACTTCAAGTGGCTTTGGACCAGCAACAAACCAGAAAATTGGAAGCATCAGTTTTTCGGTGGAAAGAATGATATCGATCCTCATTAACAATCTTCACAGTAAGTAGTGTATTTTTGCATTGCTTGAGTCATTCTGTTAATTGATTACATGTTAGCTTTAGTTAGATTTGAAATGAATTAGAGGGTGAATTTTCTTATGTGCTTACCATTGCCAGCCTGCAATTCTCTATGCCTCATCTATGTATGGGAAGGCTTTGTTCACATCTCTGAATTAGGACTTCATTTTTTAATTTTTTTAATTATCCAACTTATTTATCATTGTTTACATATTTCCCATATGTTTTTTCTGGATTAATGTTTTCATATTTTTTAAAATTTAATTGAGGTCCATGTAAATGTTGATAAATCTGAAAGTATGAGCCTACTGCTGCCTTTTTTCTGGCATTGTTAGCCTTATTCTAAATTATGAAACTGGTTAGACTTGTGCTTCTCTAGGCATGCGAAAAGGACACTAAGGACTGAGCTCAACCCCTTTTGATTATAAATTTAATGACTATCATTTCTGATACAATATTGTTGGTGGGGTCACATCTCTCTTCTGGCATCTCTGTGCAATTTATGCTTGATTATTATTATTTATTATCATTATCTGTTTGTTGTTTCTGTATCTTGTTATTAAAAGGATTGTGTCGCAAAAACTTGTATGGTAAGTATTCTGATTTCATAAACACTTCCTGTTATGTCTTCCAGGAGTACAGCCATTGTGGGATCAAGTTGTCAACCATTTTCTGGAGGTGATTATATTTAATATTTTCCTTTTAATCTGGTTCTAGTATCATTTATGTTGTTAGCCCTTTCCTGGAGGTGATTATATGTAATATTTTCCCTTTAATCTGGCAGCCCTATCCTAACACCTAACAATATGATGCAGCTTGCCAACAATTCTAATCAACATTTAAGAAATATGGCACTTGACGCATTAGACAAGTCAATATGTGCTGTTTTAAGTTCAGAACAGTTTGAAGCTCATCCACCTTCTGGATCCTCCAACAATTCCCAGGATGTAAGAATTTTAATGTTTTTACAGCTGTAAATGCTATATTCTATTGGGAAAAATGAATATTAATTTTGTAGCTAATCTATCTCAGTGTTGCTTATCAAAAAAAAAAAAAAAATCTAATCTCTGGGTAGGTTGAAGCTAAGGAAACAGAATTGAGATCACTTGAGTGTGCTGTCATATCTCCGTTGAGGGTTCTATATTTTTCTACCCAAAGCAGTGATGTGCGTGCCGGATCATTGAAAATTCTTCTGCATGTTTTAGAGGTAAAATATGGAAATTGTTTGAAATTAGAGTTCATTTCTGTTCTAGGCCTGTGGTTACAATGTTTTTCCTCATACCTTTGCCAGAGATGTGGAGAAAAATTGCGGTACAGTTGGCCTAGCATACTTGAAATGTTAAGGTTTGTTTTTGCCTCATAGCTTGCTTTTGGACATATTTCTGTTTCTTTTTTTTTTTTTGTTTATTGGTCCATCTTCCTTTTTTTTTTTCCTTCTTTTAGGTCTGTTGCAGATGCCTCAGAGAAGGATCTAATTACACTTGGGTTTCAGGTTAGTGGAACTTTGGCTGACATTTGTAAGGTTAACTCCAATAGGACTTTTGTTTTGTGTATTCCTCTTGTTACAGATACAAAGGTAGAGTTCATAGGTTCTCATATATAAAATAGTGGCTGGTTCTCTATGTTGAAGCCTATCTAATTTGCCTATTTCCATGTAGAGTCTACGTGTTGTTATGAATGATGGGCTTTCAACCCTTCCTGCAGACTGCCTCAATGTGTAAGATCTCCAAACAAGCAAATTTTGTAATATCTTTGTCTTTTTTATCAAAAGGAAAAAAAAAAGAAAGAGATAGAGAGAGAGATGACGATTGACCAGACATTTGATAGTTCTGGTTTCATTTATTTCAACCTAAAATAAACTCAAGATTTAGTCTCAAACTAGCTGGGGTTGCTTTACATGATTTCTTCTCATTCATTCCATTCAAGGACCATACGCTTGAGTTCCTAAAAAGCCTCAATCATTTCTTTTTCTTCAGCATCTTTATTACTTTTTTATATTATTCCTTGCTCAAATTGAATGACTCTTTTGTGCTTGTGCATCTCTATTTCTGTTCTGTACATGGCTAAAAATCTAAGTCTTCCTTCTTATATCATTATCAATGCTAGCCCCTTTGTTTCTTATCTATCTTTTGTGATAAAATTTATCATATATGCGTACTTGGTTTACTTTAGATATTCCATGTTAAAACCATTGTAAAGACAGCTCGTTAGTGTAGGGAGAAATTCATATTGAGGTAGGACTGGGGAGCTAGCCAAAGGAAAAGAACCAAAAAAATCTGCAAGTTTACATAAGAATTTTATTTGAGTTCCTCATTTTTCTAGTCCTTTGGTCAATTTATTTGGGACATGCTATGATAGCAAAAATGTATATGAAAATCCTGATTGACACACACTGAATTACATTAGCTGCAACCTGCAAGTATTTGGTGATTGTAACTTGTATATATTATTTGGTTTTCTGTTGAGGGTAATAATGTTGCCGTCTGGAATCACAGATGTGTTGACGTTACTGGAGCATATGGTGCACAAAAGACTGAGCTGAATATAAGCTTGACTGCAATAGGCCTGTTATGGACCACTACTGATTTTATTGCCAAAGGGTTGCTACATGGGCCTGCAGGTGAGAAGGAAACAGGTTACTGAGTCATTGTATCTCCTTTACCTCCGCAATATCAGAGCAAGTTTCTGTAAATGATCTATACTGTGCTTACAGGAATTCTTGATGTGCATTCTGTTCAAAATAACATGGATGGTGAAAACACAGAAGAGCAGACAAATGACTTGTCTAATAAGATGAATAGGCCATCTCCCTCTATAAATACAGTGGATCATGAGAAGCTGCTTTTCTCTGTTTTCTCATTGCTTCAAGAACTTGGCGCTGATGAAAGGCCAGAGGTACAATAACTTGCCAATTAAAATGATGTTTGTGCTTTCTTGTGTTTTTGGAGTTCCATTAAGAAATCATAGTTTAACAGTTAACACGATTTCTAATGGGAATATGATGGCCCTGTTTGGTTTAGTTGTTTGGGGAAAAGTTGATAGTTGATAATCCATATCCAATGGTTGAAGGTTGTTATGTAAAATATCTAAAATTCAAACACTCTTTATAGAAAACTGATTAGAGAAAACAGCTACTCCCTAATTGCTAAACGAATCAAGCCTGATGTCTTAGATGGAAACACCGAAGAAATTTGCTTCTTTTTTTTTTTTTTTTTTCTTGCCAATCATTCCTTTTTGTCTTTAGTTTTAACTACTAAAGTTGGCTTATTAAAAAAAAAAATGGATAACTGCAGTTATAAACAAACTTGTTTACTGAGAAGGGTAATTGTGACACATTACCATATGAAGCATATTTACCTTAAAATGTGTGTTAAGTCCAACAAGGACTATAATTTGAAAGGTAGTAATATTTTCTTTGTAAGGTGATTCTATTTCCATATAGAATGTCTATTTTTTTTAGGATATGTGCTATTACCATATGAAGAATATTCACCTTAAAATGTGTGTTAAGTCCAACAAGGACTAAAATTTGAAAGGGAGTAGTATTTTGTTTGTAACGTGATTCTATTACCAGGTAGAATGCCTATTTTTTTTAGGATATGTGCTTTTGTGCTTTGACAAATCATGGTGATTCTGTTTGGTAAATCATGGGGTCTTCATAGTTTGGTTTATAAATTTTTTACAATAGAAAAAGTTTAAATGAATGAAGATGTTCAACTTCTTAGAGATTATGTAGTTTGTAACTAAAAATTTGAAGTAAAATACATGCAATAATCTGGGCAAAAGAATTGCAAGAAATCAGACAGAGAGGTTAGATGACTGCAATGCTGTGCTGAGTATCCTCTTTTTTTTTTTTTTTTTTTTTTTTTTGATGAATTAAAAGTTTTCTTGTAATTCACTTCTTACCTTCATTACTTGCATGTCCCCTCCAAATCCTCCATTTGTGGATTGTGCATAGAACTAGGTACTACTTTGGTGGCTGTTTGATATTCAAAGTCCCTTTTCTTCTCAGGTCAGGAATTCAGCAGTCAGGACTCTCTTCCAAATTCTTGGAAGTCATGGACAAAAACTTTCAAAGAGGATGTGGGAGGACTGTCTTTGGAATTACGTATTTCCTACATTAGATCGTGCATCACACAAGGTAGATTAAATTAGCTGTCAAGCACATATATAAGATTTTCCTTTTCTTTTTTAATGGGCTTCTGGTCTTCTGCTTGTAGGCTGCTACTTCATCAAAGGATGAGTGGCAAGGGACAGAACTAGGAACTCGAGGTGGAAAAGCAGTGCACATGCTCATTCATCACAGGTAATTCTAATACCAGTAGTTTTATATGTATAAATAGGTATCTGCAGTTAACTTTAGTTTTTTCATCCTAATCTCAGGGCCTCTTTCCCACTAATGCATTCTTCTTATCTTCTATATGTGCAGTCGTAACACAGCTCAAAAGCAATGGGATGAGACCCTTGTATTGGTCCTTGGCGGAATATCACGTCTTTTACGCTCATTCTTTCCTTACCTACGAAGCTTAAATAATTTCTGGTCAGGTGAGATTATGATCAGATAGATTTGAAATAATATTATGATTCATCTCAGCTTATTTTGTTACAAAACCCCATTGTTATATATTCTTTCGGCAGGATGGGAATCGTTGCTTCTTTTTGTGAAAAATAGCATTTTGAATGGTAGTAAAGAAGTTGCCCTTGCTGCAACCAGTTGTTTACAGACAGCAGTCCTTTCGCATTGCACTAAGGTGATTTTGTTCTATCTGAACTGGAAAAGAAGTTAGATTTTCCTTGTGATGATGATAGTTAATTATGTCTTTGTCTCTTCAAATCTCTGTTTGAACCATTAACTTTGGTGCATATTTTGTCAGTAAGTCTCATTTTTCTATAACCAAATACATTTGAGTCTCCTAAAAGGCTAAAACCCTGTCACAGTACTCAAAATTTTCCTCTTATTGGTTTTATTTGTCACGGAAACTCTTTTTCTGTAACTGCTCACATTAGTCTCCTAAATACCCTGTTACTGTACTCAATTGTCCCCCATTTTGATTTTATTTGTCAGGGAAACTTGCCAATGCCTTACCTGAAATCAGTGCTTGATGCATATGAAGATGTTCTTCAAAAGTCATTAAACTATAGTGACAATGCAGCAATAAAGGTGAAGCAGGAGATTTTTCATGGTCTTGGTAATTCCTAATCTTAAATGTTTTTAATTTTACATAGAAATCAAAGAAAAATCCATGATTTAATAAATTAAAACATTAAACATATGCTGCTCTGATCAGCTTGGTCATCCTCGTAGTCAGTGCAGTTTGAACAATGCAACACTGGTTGCCATTGCAAGAATTCTGATTCTCAAATGAGTAATTATCTTCTAGCATGCTTATCTGTTATTCTATTGAAAAATGACAGGAGAACTATATGCACAAGCACAAAGGATGTTTGATGATCACATGTACATGCAGTTACTAGCAATCATTGATTTGAATATCAAGCAGACTCTTATAACTAATGATAATTTTGAAAACGAATCTGTAAGTTCTTTTTATCTTGTCTCTTTTTATACCCTTTTTAAGTTCTTTGTGTGGTAAAAGTACAAGTTTTTTATGCTAAAAGTTATTATTTGTTTATTATTGTCTGTAAATAGCTTTTACCTATTGAGAATTCATTTATGCAAATCAAATGGCACTTTAGAAGTAAAATATAAAGACTTTCTTCATCCATATAGAAGTTTGTCCTGTTAGGATTTGAAATAAATTTATTATATTATCACATGTAGTAGTCTGTAAATAGTTTCTAACTTTCTGTGAATTCATTTATCCAAATCCACTAGCACTTTGGAAGTAAAATATAAATGCTCTCTTAATCTATATGGAAGTTTGTCCTATCAGGATTGGAAATAAATTTATTATATCATCTTACATGGTAGATGTAGCCCCTATATTTATGGAGCACAAACATTGAAGATTGAATCCCATTAAGCCTTTTCATTTTGAGAATTAACATTCTTTTATCAGCATTATGAGCATTAATATGGACGGAATTATTAATTTTTTCTGCACTTTAGGGACAGGTGCCACATGTACTACGTACCATACTGGATATATTGCCACTGTTGGGTCCATCTGAGCACCTTTCTTCAATGTGGCTCATACTCCTTCGGCAACTGCTGCAATATCTTCCAGGACCAGATTCTCCTTCACAGAATGAGGAAGAGGAGGCACGACAAGCCAGCGCTACTGACCATAACCCAGGTATAAAAGAGACTTCATGGTAGTTTGTCAGAACTCCAATGTGCTTTTAAACATGCAAGAAGAATGGAATTTATGCATTTTTTTCACAGATATTCATGCGAAGCTGAAGCATGAGAAACTTAATGGTAGTGCAACAGCATCCCTTAAAAGGGATGGAGTGCCTTCTCCAACTTCTGGAGCCAACAACGCTACATCTGTTGGTGTCTCAAATTATTTGCTTGCAGAAAAGCTTGTTCCTATTCTGGTAGATTTGTTGCAACAGGCTACAACAATTGAAAAGTATATCATTTTTCCGGAATTTATCCAAAGCTTTGGGAGGTATGTGTGGTTTAGTAATTTCTTATCATTTGTGTGATGGTACATGGTTCTCTGGTTCATGGATCATGAATAAATGATGATAAAAATCTCCTTCCCTAACTAGAATTATTTTAATACATACGACAATGATTTATCCACACCAAATAACTAATGGAAATCTTTTTTTATTTACTAATAAAGGAAGAACCACTATGCCCTTAGTCATCTTGATCTTGTTTGTTTGTTGTAGTTCAAATTAGAAATTACTCAATTAAAAAATAAAAGATCAAATCTATCAATTAAAAAATAAAAGATCGAATCTATCTTGGCAGGTCCATGACAACTAGGAGAGACAATCCAGATGGTTCCCTTTGGAGATTAGCTGTTCAAGGCTTCAACTCCATCCTTGTTGATGATGTCAGCAAAATTGGCAGGGATTCTGGACTAGATTCAAAAACTATTAAACCAGCAAGATTGCGTATTTGGAAAGAAGTTGCAGATGTCTATGAAATATTCCTCGTCAGCTATTGTGGACGTGCTCTTCCTTCCAATTCTCTTTCAGCTGTTACACTTAAGGATGATGAGTCTCTTGAGATGGCTGTATTAAACATTCTGGGCAAAAAGATTCTTAAGTCACCAATTGATGCACCTATTGATGTAAGCAATCTCCTTGATGGGTATAGGTAGTTAATAAGAGCAGCAGCTACCAAATGGCTGTGTTTATACTGTTGCAAAACTTAATTAGTACACTTTCCAAATAATATTATCTTCCATTCAGTGCTTGTGAAACTCAAATAACTGATGATATATTCTATTTCTATCACATTCTAATTCTTTTCTTGATGCCTATACAGATTCTTCAACGTCTGGTTTCTACCTTGGATCGTTGTGCATCACGAACATGCTCTTTACCCATTGAGACTGTGGAACTTATGCCCTTGCACTGTAGCAGGTTTTCATTGACTTGCTTGCAGGTGTTATTTTCAATGAGCAGGTAATACAGGTTTTAGTTTCAAATATTTGATTAATTTTCTTAATATTTTCGACAGTGCTGCATTTTTTTTTTTTGGGTACATTGGAAAAGTTAGTTGCTTGCCAACACAAGGGTTTTAACCCTTGACCTTAACCCCAAATCAAAGTTTGAAAGTTAGTGGGTACCAACTCCGCTAAACTCTTGTTGATAACAATACTGCATTGATGTTATTGTAATAGTTGACTTCTGATATTTATATTAACTTCTTATTTGTGTGGCTGGTAATTAGAACTATCATTATATTTTATGGAAGTTAATGTCTTTATTATTGGCTTCATTAAGTAGAAATCATCAAGTTCTTTTTTTCCTACCTGCAATCATTAATTCTTTAGATGAAATGTAACTCTTCTGGCTTATAAATGAAAACATCTTTTAAGCATCTCTGTAAATTGGCCCAAATTTAATAGATAACGCCAGATTTCCGTTAAACTCCATGAACAATAGTTTAATGGGAAAATAACTATGCTGACGTCAACCATTAAATTTGGGCTAATTTCTCCAAAACAGAATTTTGGGGTGGCAATTTGTCAACTTTTTTGTTGGGTGCTAATGTGCATCAACTTGAAAATACTGGGGCCAATCTGCATCTTCTTACTATTCTTAGGACATACCTAAAAAAGCCATAAAATTGATTTATTCAAGCATTTTGATATGGCATTTTCATGTTCGTAGCTTCAACGAGGGGGCAGATGATTGGAACTTGACAAGATGTGAGGTCAGCAAAATTGCAACTATGGTATTGATGACAAGATGTGAATACATCTTGAATAGATTTTTACTTGATGAGAATGATTTAGGTAAGCAGGCCTATGTTTGTCATCAAAGTAACGAATAGTGAATTGTTTCACATTTCTTCATTTCATTACCTGGACGTGTACAATCTTGAATTTTAACTGAACTTTCCAGGTGAGCGTCCATTCCCAACAGCAAGGCTTGAAGAAGTGATTTATGTCCTTCAGGAATTGGCTCGTCTAGAGATTCATCCAGACACAGCATCCATTCTTCCTCTACATCCACAGCTGAAAAGTGGCCTAGCAGAAAGGAAGCATGAGAAGCGACCACATCTGCTTGTCCTATTCCCCTCCTTCTGTGACCTTGTTATATCAAGGTGAGTGATAGTGATTTTATTGCAAAGAATTGGTATTTTGGCAACCAAAGACACTTTCTGGTGCTTGAAGCAGAATCCAACATAACTCTGGAAACTTAATGGATGGTGAATTACTAATTATAACAAGAGCTGTGGCAGGGTACTGGATCAACTTTATGCAAATATACCCTAATGTTGTGGTCCACTAGGGATAGCTTTTGATTCATATCAAAATAGAAATGGTATCTAACACTAAATTTCTAATAATGATACTGAACTCTTAAAAATAATGTGGTGAAATGGAAATTTTAAAAAGTGGAACAAATAGGACATGCCCTTGTCGTAGACATTGCTATTGGAATTTTAACTACTAGTAGTACCATCAATGTATCATGTGTCAGAGGTGATATGAAATAAAAAGAAAAATGATGAACAAGATCTGCATGAAACTAGGAAAAACAACTCATTTTATACGGCTGATATTTCCTGGGAGAAATTGAGATTGTTGAACCATATCTGTCGAGTTGTCTGTGCTTCTCGTGATAAATTTAGAAACAACTTTGTTAAGTTGGCTGTATACAATGCAGACTGCAGAGAGATATGAATGGTATTGCCATATTGGAACCTGCTAGTTAATTTTAATTTGATCAAGTACGAAAAGACATGGCAGTTGCTTATATAACTCTAGCAGCTTGTTACAGAACAAGGGTAGGGCAAGATTTCATCACATCCTGTTTGCCACATTCATATTTCTCCATCCTTCTGGTTGGCAGGGAAGCCAGGGTACGGGAGCTGGTCCAAGTTTTGCTCAGATTCATTACAGAAGAATTGGCATTAGAGAAGCTTAGCATATCTAGTTGAGGACATGATACCATTGTTTGTAAAGTCGACTCAAGTTGATTTTTTCTGCGACCATGATACAAGTTTGTTTATGTAGTGTTATTTGGTTTTGTAGTTTTGTACATCATAGGAAAATGCCAATCTGTATTCATCATAGTAACCTTCTGAACCTCATGGCAATAATTTTTCTGAGTAAAGCCTAAAGCTAAATTTTGAGTTCACTACAGATTTCTTGTATGGAAACATTCTTGTGCTATTTATGTAATAAAATACCTTATCTGCCTTGCACAGTTGTAGCCCATGACTTGGACGAAATTGAACACACAAAAAAAGATTTGTTCCTTCTGTAAGAACAGTTTCTGGCCTCCAAATTATTTGCCTTCCAATAAATGACTTAATTTGGATCCTAATCTCTCTAATGTCATAAAATGAAATTTTATGCGTAACTTTTACCCCTCTTCCCAAACTACATTAATAAATGATAAGTTCCCACACTCCCGTCAATCACTACCAGTGCTTCAATAAAGCAATTAATATTTCATCGTGTCAATCACTACCATTGTTTCAATAAAGCAAATAATATTTCATCCAAGGAGCTGTGGTGTAATTGATAGGAGGGTTTGCCACTCAACTATATTTGAGGTTGAGTTTTGGCCTAAGTGATGAGTTAGGTTTAGGTTTTAATATGGGTTTGGGCCTGAGGCTGAAAACAAATTCGTCCATGCACTCCCTCTCTTTTGTGTGTCTTTTAATCTAGTCCTCTAACTTTTTTTCTTGCAATTTGACCCCTGAAAAGGATTAAATTGAAGAATTCCTTAGTAGCGGCTTTTCATTGAACCGGGACAGAATGGTCTCAAGATAAGTGCAAGTTAATTTAAAGACACTTTAACTGCTAAATTAAAAAAATAATAATAGTAAAACAAATAATATTTTTGCTATTAACACAGTTGTTCATATTAGGGCATAATATATGTCACATATGTACATAATATGTTCATGAAAAATTGAAAATATATGATGTTAGGACGAAGGTGCCAACTAGTAATCAGAATGAGGTTACTAGGCTTGGAACCCCCGTTACAACAATTGAAACATTAGAGACCTACTTGAACCATACACAAAAGGTAAGGTTCACCATATATATTTTTACATATTGCAGAATGAAGAGACAGACTTTCATGGCTATATATATATATATATATACACACTATGTACACAAATCCAAGCCGAGCCGCCGTTTCACTTAATTTGGTTGAGCCTAGCTGCTGCAGCCACAGATGCTGCCACGCCCGCCGGATGCGTAGTTAGATTTGGGTCATTCCGCATTTCTGCTCCGGTCACCCCTTCCGCATCTTTCCTTGTCACCGGTTTATCGGCAGGTAACCTCACCGTCGCATTCTGCCAAGGAATGGTGCAGTATTTAGATGCATAATATCAAGAAAACGAAATGTAAAGCGTTCCACAAAAGAGCACTTACCGTGAGAATATCAGCCAACTTGATCTTTTCCTCAACTCTGCTTGTCCTTGCATTGAGGGTGGCAGCCGATTGTGCTCTGGCGGCGATGCCACCGGGCATAATGGAGGTTCTCCCGGTGGCTCTGACTTCTGCTGCTTGAATAGCGGCAGCATCACTCCACTCCACTGGCTTATTTCCAGCCGTGAGGGCTGTGGCTTCAAGTGCTTCGCCGATGGTGATCGCATCATTGAGATTGCTGCCCTGTTGATTACCGGATTCCAACGATGGTAGGGAAACTGCTTGGCTATATTGCTCCAAAACCTGCAAATGAAAATAGTCAGATATAAATTAAAATTGATTTTCAAGTTCTAGAAATGGAGAAAACGTCTAGGTATATCTTCAATTCAGCCCACCATCCGTCCGGTGAAAGATCCCATTACCGTAGTACATTTTCCTGAACCATCAGTCTGTTGTGCGAGTTTCTCATTCAACGTCGCCACAGAGTGCATCACAGCAGCTGCACCTCTCTTCTGGGTTTTGCCAAGGAAGGAGTTCTCGAACGCCTGCGTCGTCGACGCATCCCCAGGTGACACCGGCTTCTTGGCGAGCTCACCTTGGACGTGAAAAACTTCACCATATTTGATGGGTTCTTGCTCTTCCGGCCTCTGCAGTTCTTGACTCATTGCGACAAAATTACGAGATGCTAACAGCCGGTGAAGATCCGTGGAGGAATGTTTTTTTATATGTTGAATAATCTAAACATGTTTATTTCAGGAGAAAAAAGCGGTGGAGACGCTCTCTCAGAAACTCTAAAGATGGAATGGTGATTTTGAATTGGAGAAGACGACTCGGTCTTTGTGGTAAAATAAGGTCAACTCGTTATTGGAAATGGGGTAACCTGTGTAGTCGGTCACTAAACTTTAACATAATTTGGATTTTGGTCACTCAACATTTAATTGGATCCATTATTTTCTTATCATTATTATGTTATCTTCCATTATCCAATGAACTATTGTTGATTTGCCATTGACATGGAATCCAAATCAACCAAAACATTTAGTGCAACGTTTACACGTGGGCGCATTAGAAGCAAAAATATTACTACCCAAATTGTAGCCCAATTTTTGGCACGTGAATTAATTGGGTGTACATGTGCGGATTTTTTTATCTAGTTTTAATAGCATTATTTCAACTAACACGTCTTAATTTGAATAAAAAGAATGTAATTCCCCTTAAACAAGAATTTGAATTTGAGTATTGTAAATAAAAAAATAAATATTAAAAAAGCTTCTAAATACCGAAGATTACTACAAAAAAATAACATTATTTCAACATTAATTTTCTTTGTTATGGTAAAACTTAAGTTAGCTTTCTCTCCTATTTATGAAATTTGTTAAGTTATGAATTTCTACTTAGATAGGATGTTAAAACTTCTTTATTCATGACCTTATTTATTAACTTTCTTAAGTTTTTCTAAATATCTACTAATGTTACTTTTACAATTTATAAATTTTGATTTCACATGAATTGAAATTGACTATATTGGCTCAATGCACTCCAAGAGAAGGGTGAATTGAAGTGCAAAAATTTTCTCCTTTTTGTAACCATAAAACAAAGAATTAAAAAAAGTAAAGAAGAAGAGCTTGTTCAATGATTTTATAGAAGTTTGATCCAATCGCTTGGAGCCTAATTCTCTACCTTGACTTCATTCATCAAGAATTTCCTCCACACTCTCCACTATCAAGAATAAGTGTGGCTTAAATGAGCCACTCAATCTTTTTACAAGAAAGTGAGTATTTCTCACAAATCTCACCATTTTACAAGAAAAACCCAAACAATCCTCTCTACAAATCATTATTGAAGGAATAATCACACTCCCAAGATCACTCAAAAATAGAACAAGAAGAGAATTACAAGCAAAGATCACTCAAAAATTAAATACTCAAGTTAAAATACAAGTTGGTAGGTAAAGATATTCAATATAATACTCTCTAAACTTGTTCCAGATCTTTTACCAACCATATTTATAATCCCATAATCGAAAATAGCCATTACTAGCTGTTGTGGGTCATTTAATGCTCTGCAGGTCTAGGGATGGCAATTCTCCTCGTTCCCCACGGGGCCCCGTGGGGATCCCCGCCACGGGGATGGGGCGGGGAAGAATATTCCCTCCACGAGGCGGGGACGGGGACCATTTTCTCCCTGCGAAACGGCCCCGTAGGGCCCCGCAAGGATCCCTATCCCCGCAAAAAAAAAAGTTTTTATTTTAAAATTAATTTATTCTTTAAACTCAAACCCAAACCCAAATTCAAATCCAATCCAATTATAATTAAACCTAACCAAATACTATCCAACCCAACCCAACCCAACTCCCAACCTAACCCATTCCCCTACATTTAACTATAACCCTAATTTATTTTAATTCTCATCACTCACAGTCTCACTCTCAATCTCCTTGTCTGTGGCTCACCCATCTCTCACCTTCAGTTTCCTTTACTGTTGTTGCTGCCGAAGCTTGCTGTCGAATCCATCTCCTCTGCTGCTGCTAAAGCCATCTACTCTATTGTTGCCGGATCCATCTGCTCTGCTGCTGCTGCTGAGGACATTTGCTTTGTTGCTATTGCTGTCGAAGCTTGCTGCCAAATCCATCTCCTCTGCTGCTGTTGAAGCCATTTACTTTGCTGTTGCCAGATCCATCTGCTTTGCTGCTGCTGCCGAAGACATCTGCTCTACTGCCGTTGCTGCCGAAGCCTACTGTCGAATCCATCTCCTCTGCTGCTGCTGAAGCCATCTACTTTGCTGTTGTCAGATCCATCTGCTCTGCTATTGCTGCCAAAGACATCTGCTTTGCTACTGTTGCTGCTGAAGCTGCTGCCGAATCCATTTGCTCTGCTGCTGCTGTTGCCATCAGAGCCATCTACTGCTGTTGCCATCAGAGCCATCTGCTGCTGTTGTTGCCACTGCCGAAGCCAGTGCTGGGGAATGGGGATCCTCGTTCCCTGCGGGAAACGGGACAGGGGGCAAAATCTGCCCTTCGTCAAAAATCCCTGCGGGGATCCCCATTCCCGTGATTTGCGCAAATGGGGATGGAGAGGGGTTCCCAACCCCGCAGGGCCCTGTTGACATCCCTATGTAGGTCGTGTAATTTCGAATTGTAGAATTATTAGCACAATTGGCTTGAATCCAATAGCCGACTTTTCAGGTTTCCTGCACATTCTGTTTTCTTCGTAAAGCTGCTTACATTCCTTGAGTCGGCTTTGTGGGTTTTCTGCATATTCTGTTTTCTTGCATAGTCGACTGCAAAACATAAAACCAGCTTTGGGATTCCGACTTTAAAAACATTAATTAATCTTCAAATAACTCGACCATTATGCATTAAATGCGCCTTTACAGCCGATTACAAAGTCAGAACCGGCTTTGCATCTGTTTTTCGCGCGCGCCAAACAATGGGCTTGAATTTGTCTCCCGCAAAGCCGACTGCAGCTCTTAGAGTCGGTTCTCTGCACTTCACTTTCGCCAGAGCTGGTTGCAGGTTTTAAGAGTCGACTCTTTGCACATTTTTTAAGCCTTTTGGTCTATGTTTAGTACAGTCCAAATTTACTTACTTTACAATCTTTTAACAATTTAATTACACACTTAAATAAATCAATTAATCACTTAAATATATTTTATAATTATCAAAATTATAGGTACAATAGAGACTATTATATTTTTAAAATTATATCTCACTTTAGTGGCTTTACTCGTTAATTATAAAAAACTATAAATTAAAGCTTCCTCGCCTTTGGCATCGGCAAATTTGGATTGATTAAAAAGAAAAAAAGAAAGTAAGGGTAAAATGGTCAATTGAGATTAAAAGGTTTGTTTCCGTGTATGTACATTCGAAAATTCAAACCACCCGTCTAGGGTCTTAGGTACACACTCGAGACGGTCACAGGGAAGCGCGAAGCAGCAGTAGGGAGGGAACAATGGATGGCAGACAGTTGACGGCAGAATCGGTGCCGGTTTTCCAGGAAGGGATAGGTTTACTCCTGTCTCGGTGGTCGGCTCTGCAAATGGCCGTCGAAAACGAGTGGGGCGGCCGCGACTCTCGCCGCAAAGCCGACCTCCTCGTCTCTGATATCTCCTCATTCTTCGCCAACTCCAAAGGTCGCTTTCCTTCCATTCATTTTTCTTCAGTTTTTCGGATAACTATTGAGTTTCGCACTTTTGCTTGTCCAGGATCAGCTTAACTGAGTTAAATTTCCGAACTTTTTTGTTTCGAATTTGTGAATTTTCGACTTAGTTTACGATTGGTTGATTCAATTTGGAAATTTTAATTTTCTCAGAGCCGCTTTACATTGATGATCTAGAAAACATCCTGGAGGAATCTCTGCTCTCTCTCAATACCATGGCTGAGGATGGCAGCATCGAGGAGGTATTGTGCCTACTGTTTGGTATCCTTAACATCCTGTAGCCTTCAGTTCTTTTAATCCTGCTACTGTAAATTGTTTATTGCTAGCGTTGTTTGCTTAATTGCATTGTTGTAAGCCTTCTCAACAATAGAAGCAAGCAATCCACATTCCAGAATCTGTCATTATGCAGTTTTTAACTTTTAATTCTCTCTCTCTTTTTTTCAATCAATCAAATAACAGATTTTATTACAATGGGTTCTCAACCTGAACACGAGCAGACAAACTCAGGACATAATCAGTTCCTATTTAAAAAATTTCATCTCAATCAAACAATGTTATTGTAGCTTGATCATCCTGTATTACATGTACATGTAGCATTTGCATTCTTGAACTGTTTCGGTGCTATTCTGTTTTCATTTCTGCAATGGCTTGACTATGCAATTGGGGTTGAGCACATCAATTATTAGAAGTAATGTTTTTAACCTTTAATAGGATTACTGAGGAATTGGATTGAATTGTTACAATATCTAGTTTGCATATTTTGTTTTCCTTTTCTCTTTTTTTTTTTTTTTTTTTGCCAACATTGTTTTTCAGTTCATTGTGACTGATATGATGAATTATAAGTACATCTTGACAATTCCAACTTGTTCATCATACGGAGCTGCTTTACATATATGATGCTTGCTACAGATGAGATGCTTAAGCATGGCTAGAATGCTGCTCCCTGCCTTTTGGCCAGTGTTATCAGTAGCTAATAGTGGCCAATTGTGGAAATCTCAATGATTAAAGACTAGATTTTAGGGTTCTTCTACTTAAAAAAAAAAAAAAATAGAAAAGACTGAAAAGATTGAATTAACCTTAAAGAAACTAACTTTATTTTGCTTGCTTGGGCTATTTCTGAGTTTCAATAAAAATATGCAATAGATTACAATAGCAGCTGCTATTGTTCAGCTGCAATGCTATGGCTTTTTATGGCACTATAGCCGCCACCATAGCCGCTATTAACTACACTGCTTTTGGCATTAAAATTTCCTAGCTGAATTGTTGCAAGGAGGAACATATAACTTGATCAACTAACTTGGTTTGGGAATAAACTCAAGATTCCGGGTTAAGAAACATTTAAGTTAAATTCAGGAAGATGGTGATTGCATCTGTAGTTTTTATATCATGCAGTTCATAATTTCTTTTATAAACTTGTTAACCTTGCAGCTATTAAGGGATACATTTTCTAGTTTCTACCATCCTTCATGAAGAATAAATAGATTTTTCTAAAACTCTATAGGTGGCAGAAAAGTTAATGGTTATGCATGAAGAATGTTTGGAAGGTAACTATCAGTCTATTGAAAAAATGAGGGCAACCAATCCTCCCCCAGTTACTCATGTCAGACAGGTAAGTCTTGGTTTAAACTTTAAACTATTTACTTAGAAAGTTATGTTTCTTGATGAAAAGAATATTCTGGGTCTGTGGTGGAATGTACTTATCTAACAGTTTTTCTTTTTATTTGTTTTTTGAATAACTTTCTGCTGTGTTTTCATTTTCCCTACCTGCTGTTTTGACATTGACATTACAGTAACTTTGTTTTGGAGATTATGTGGAATGTAGCCTATTCTTATCTTTTATCTTCCATCATATATACCAAGACACTGAAACACAAAGGTTTTCTTAATTCTTTTTCTTTTTTTTTTTTTCAAGGGATTTTACTTATTGTTAGCAAAAGTTTAGAGGTTCTAAATGATTTTCTTTGTTTAAAATTTCTGTTTCTTAGTTTACGTTCCTATTCTATGCCAGGTTAATGATGACTATGATGACAACGACGACGATGATGATGGCATGGGTGATGACAACACAACAAACATGATGTTGGATGTCCCAAATTCTGGGCCAATTTTGAATCCCGTTGATAAGCCAACTGATGAACCAAAATCCAAGCAGAGGGCTGAAGCCGCAGATGATGGTTGGACTGTAGTTTCTTCCAGGCGAAATAAGGGTAGAAAAAATTAGCTTAATTCTTAATTACTATACTTTTTCCTTTTGTTTTTCTTAAGCGGCATCTGTATCTCTTTCAACATCTTTTGAGTGCTAAATTGCTAATTACTAATATTCGTACCTCTGGTTTAGTAACTTAAAGAAAATTGCCAGTTTCCTAACTTGTCCGAGGAGAAAAAGAAGTCTTAATTATGTCTGAAACTGGATTGCTCCCTACATTTTCTGACTTATGGATCAAATGAACCTCATTTCAGCTGGTAATAGGTAAGATCTTAACAATCATGCATCTTGAACTTATACTGCATGCAGTCCGTAAATTAGCCACATTTGCTGCTGTTATGCATGAGTACCATTCAAGATTTGCATACCTAAATTCCCTGATCCCTTTTTGATATTTTCACCCACATTATTAGTTAATAAATAGTTCATCTTCATCAAACTCATTGTCCACCAACTCTCACTTCATACCAGCAACTTCACCCAACCCCCTCCAATATCTCCCTTTAATTTCCTTCACCCACCTTTCATCAGTATGATCAAATTACTCCTCCTTTCACTCTCATTTTCCACTCTATATTCTCTCGTAACAGCCTATGATCGCAGCGGCAAGTGGCAGTTCTTGCATTCTAGTGTAGGCATATCAGCCATGCACATGCAACTCTTACATAATAACGAAGTCATCATCTTCGATCGCACTGATTTCGGACCCTCTAACCTCACTCTCCCTGGGGGCCGTTGTCGATTTGATGCTAATGACAACGCACTCCAGGTTGATTGCACTGCCCATTCAATCCTCTATGATATCCATACAAACAGATTTCGTCCTCTTATGGTCCAAACCGATACCTGGTGCTCTTCTGGGTCAGTCCTCCCAAACGGAACCCTTGTCCAAACTGGTGGTTACAATGATGGTGATCATGCCATTCGCACATTCACCCCTTGTGCTGCTGGAAATTGTGATTGGGTTGAATTTCCAAGTTATTTGTTGGAACGAAGATGGTATGCTACTAATCAAATTCTACCGGATGGTAGGATAATTATCGTCGGCGGGAGACGACAATTCAACTATGAGTTCTATCCTAGAAATTCAGAAAGCTCGTCTTCTCAGCAAACATTTCTGCTACGTTTCTTGAGGGTGACTTCAGACTCAGATGAGAACAATTTGTATCCATTTCTACACCTTTTACCTGATGGAAACTTGTTCATTTTCGCTAATACACGATCAATATTACTAGACTATAATCGAAACCGAGTGGTGAGGGAGTTTCCAAGGATTCCCGGCGAAGACCCACGAAATTATCCGAGCACAGGATCATCGGTGCTGCTTCCTTTGGATGAGAACAATGGCATTGATCCTGAAGTCATGGTGTGTGGAGGTGCACCAAGAGGTGCACATAAGCGAGCCTTGAATGGTGACTTCAAAGCTGCACTTTCCACTTGTGGAAGACTCAAGGTTGCCCGTGCAAACCCAAGATGGGTCATGGAAGAAATGCCGGTACCACGAGTCATGGGCGACATGATACTTCTTCCTCAAGGTGATGTGATCATAATCAACGGCGGAGCATTGGGCACCGCTGGGTGGGAAAATGCACGCGACCCCATCACCCATCCGATCATCTACCGTCCCTCTGCACGCCTCAACCAGCGTTTCTTTACAATGCCATCATCGTCAAGACCCCGGTTATACCATTCATCAGCAATTTTACTAACCGATGGACGTGTATTGGTAGGAGGTAGCAATCCACATAAGTTCTACAACTTCTCCAATGTTTTGTTCCCAACAGATTTGAGCTTGGAAGCATACATGCCACCATATCTGTCAACCGAATTTGATTCCATAAGGCCACGGATTTTGTCTCTCTACGGAATCCACGGGATATTAAGGTATGGGAGGCATTTCAGTGTGAGCTTCAATGTGGAACAATTCTCACAGGCGGATTTTGTGTCGGTTAGGATCATTGCGCCATCTTTTTCTACACATTCTTTTGCAATGAACCAAAGGATGGTGGTGCTGAAGATGACCAGTGTGATCAATCGGCCACTACTGACTCGTACGTACCGAGTGAGTGTGGTAGGACCGTCCACAGCTGCCATTGCTCCGCCAGGATTCTATATGTTGTTCGTAGTGCATGATGGGATACCAAGTCCTGGCGTTTGGGTGAAGGTAGGGTAGTGTTATGGGGTTTGTTTTGTTTGTTTGTTTCTTTTATATTGTAGTTTCTTTGTAGTATCTTTTTCTCTAATAAAGCATTGGGTAATGATAAAAATTGGAATTGTCAATTTTTCCCTTGCCATCCAAAACCGGTCGGAATTGTCATAATTAACATGTCCCCTTTTTAAAGAAAGGAGAAAAAGACATGAAAGAGTATTCAACCCCAAGTTCCCAAGTAGATCATTATGCAGGTAAAATTTTAAATTGATTAAATACATTTAATTAATTTATTAATATTAAAAAGTTTAATATTATTAATTATATATTTAAAAATATAATTTTTTGATTGAATGTTTCTTGATTAGATTATTATATGTATATATTAGATTAACTTAATATTGTCATAATCTACATAAATAGATCATTTAATTTAATAATTAATTTTTTAAAATATTTATTATATATATAA